TAAAGTTTCTCCTGAAATCAGAGAGGATTTCAATAAAATTATCAAAAATACTGTGCATCCTTTGTGAGGGTTTGCCACACTTCTCTGCTTGACATTAATGAAAATGAGCAAGAACTGTGATGGCACATCGCTGTCCATTGGATGGAGCCATTATATCTGAAACTTAACAGCCTGTCTGTCCCTCAAACCTTGTTTTATGGCTATTGTCCCCAATCCGATCTCTGTTTATGACAAGTACAGTGAGGGTACCATAAAACCTTACCAGTGCTGTTATGTGGGGCTGAGCAGGGGAGACCAAACTCTCTGAGAAGCCCCGCTTGGGGGGTCTTGCCTGCATCAGTTTTAAGGGAACAGTCTATGTGAAATGTAAATGCGAGCTGCCTTTCTAAAACTGGGCAAATCCATGATATATCTGCTTCCAAGCTACATATTGAATTTGCAGACAGAAATATTTGTTTGTAACCACAACCTTTCCCCCATTTTCATTCAAAATGCAAACTCACAGAATTAAATTATTTCTCTGATTTTTACCACCCAAACTGAAACACAGAAGCAAGGTATTGATATGCTGAAAAATCCTTGCTAATGTAGGTCAGTGCATCTGTTGATACGCTGTAACATGTTTGATTGCCATTATATGCAGCAAAAATTAGGAGCTGTGATTGTCCCATCTTTAAAGTGACAGATGATGATCTGTTAGACATGTGGAGGATGTGGGTGTGCACACAGATATGGATGCATGTATATGCTTATGAATATAAAATGTATAAAATGATGTGAAATAAAATATGAAGCAGGTTAAGCTTGGAATGACCACAAGCACAATGAAATCACAAGTGAGTTATGAGTACCAATAAAACTTTTATGCAACACCATATTATCATGTCTTCTGCATCTGCTGTGTCTTCAATAGAAAATCTACTTTAGAAATGTTGTGTACACCATTTAAAAATTATATGGTAGTATTTATTGTAGCCTTTCATCTGTAAAAGCCAGACCCCCTTTGTATCAGTCCATCTGGGAAGGCCCTAAAAGGAAAAATGATGCATGTTTTAGAAACCTACTATTTAAAATAGCATTAATTTTTTTGCCATTAAATATTGTGTTATATGGTGCTGCATCTCAGAATTATCAGGAGCTAGCAGCTGGAAACCTCTAGTCTTCTTTAGCGGACTCTGTGTATGGAAATTCTTTGAGAAGTATGTTCTTAAAACACATGAAGTTTTGCCATTGTATAACACCACCATCCTTTGATATTGTGCGGTGATGCACTCTTGATCCAATTATCTGAGCTCCTTCCCCTTCTCCACAGAAGGCAAAGAGGGAGCAATATTTATGTCCCTTGGGTATATTTCCCACTGTTACTTTCTTATTCATACTGTGGATAGCATATGTAGATTTGCTTGTCTTTTGGGGGACCTTCTGTATCATGTAAGAGCTCTTTCATGTGTGATGCTTGCTTTCTTGGTGCTTTCTGAATGTTTTTGAAATCCACTTAGTAAACATAGATGTAGTTTCCCATGCTTTTATTTTTCTCATTAGCTGGAGAGCCCGCAGGTATTTCTAAGTTTTTGCAGTCTGAAACTCTAGCAAGTTCATTTGTTACCAAGCACCGCCTCTAATCCCAATATTGTATGACAGGACCTAAGATGAGTTTTGCTCCTGTGTCAGCACAACTGCTTTCTGTTGTGAGCTTCACACCTCTCTTTTCTAGAGTCCTACTGCCATCATCAGTGCCATCACTTTGCTCTGTTAAGAGCATATGATGATGAAGCTTGTATTGCCTATCAGAATCACAGGTGCCAGAGAGGATTAACAGTGATGTTTAGGTCTTATCTAATGAATTCCTGCATCCTGCTGAGGAAATCACTGCTCCCAAAGTAAGGACCCATTGTATCAGCATAACTGCAGTGTCCAGTGCTACAAGTATTTCCCTGGTGGAATTATGTAGAGTAGAAATTAGGACTTGCATGAACATTTCAGTAGACACTGTTTCTAAATTTAGCTTAATGCACTGATGCCAAGAGGAGAGTGGTGCAAGTTACAAACTCTTTGACTTCAGTCACTTGATGAAGCTTCCACAAATGACAGTATACTGAATGGCCAGGAGGAAAAACATAATGGAAAAATACCAATGATAATACTGTTTCTCATGAGTTTCTTTTGTATGTCTATTATATCACCTCCCCATCCCTTGTGCTTTGGGATTTTTTTTTTTAAATTTTAAAACTTTGAATACCCATAGGTGGCTTTCAGAGGATGCGGTTTACTTACACTGGTAGCCTCACTCTTCAGCTTAGCTGGCTTCGTTGCAAACCGTTAGTGATGCAGTAATGCATTATATAAGTTTACAGTGCAATATATTACTCAGTTTCAGCACTCTCCTGAACCCTATTACAGGACTTGTAAACTGTGGATTCAGTCTTTGGTGTTGCTAAAGAATATTCAATCACCATTCAATTTCCAACTTTTTTGAATTTCCAAAGTGGCTGGGAACTGTAATGTTTCTCATTTGTTTTACTAGGAATCTCTAAAAAAGCTCATTTCTTACATAGGAGTATACATTAAGCACTTTGGAAATAAGGTGTGAACCTCCTGGTGCAGACTTTCTGAATAGTGCTAGAATCTCAGATCTTCTGGATTCCTCAAACTTGATTTTGGGACTTGAGGTCTTCAGGCTTGGCTTCTGGAGGAAAAAAGTGTGATGACAAGTAGTAAAGGCCATCCCTTGTGCCACGAAAATGAGTTTTTGCTTGCGAGCACGTGGGTAGAGACACTTGCCTGCCTCTCTCTTATGTTACTATTATAGGTATTTAACTTGGATAGGGTATCTTACTTCACTGAAATTAATCAGACAGTTCACACCTTACAGAGCTGTAGCTTCCAGGTTTCTGTATATACATAAAATATTTCTATCAGCTATATTTAATGCATCTTTTGAGGGATTTTACACATCTATGATGGTAGATGTTTAAAATTTGAAATTGGACCTAGTCGCATCTGCAACGAGCATTGTGAAATCGTATTTTTCAGGTACTTTGTTCCTAGAATATGACTTACAAATCTAGCTGCTAGTAGTCTATATAGAGTTCATAAAGACAAGCATGTACTTTAGTGTGGGATTCAGTAGGATGGTACATCGTTACCTATGGGTAAGGATGTGCCATTTCCTCCTGTATCTTTATCTCACCATCCCTGTTTCTTAGCCAGGCTGTCTTTTTATATATAATTGCTATTAG